TCTGCGATGGAATTGGTGGCCCAATTCTGGGATTGTCTTTTATTCACTGATTTTAATTGTATTTTTGTTCCTCCTTCGTTGACAAGATTATTTGGCCTTATTACCCGGCTAAGTGGCAGTACAAAGCTGACTTCGACTGATCTCAAAAAGTTATGTGTAGTCAGTCCTTGTTGCTCTTGCATGAAGGACCGTCAGCAAATACGAGGATTGCAAGTTAGATTTAGAAATGAAAAGATAGCCTGGGAAAAATGTGGTTGGGAAGCCATGTTTGACCTGTTGCCAGTCAAAGATATGCCCATGTGGTCCTTAGGAAATACAATCAGTGGGAAGGGGGTTTCATCTTTACTTCTTGGATCACAGCACAAAAGGTACAGAAGTATTCTTGGCCTGTGTTAAATTCCACACAGAAGAGGAAGGTCAAGAAAGAAAGAATTATATAAACTTCAATAAGACATCTTTAATAATAGTATTTGGGTAAATACAGGTAGTCTTCAATTTATAATCTCAAATGGGACCAGAATACCCAAGACTACCTGTATTTACCCTGAAGAAACTACACCCACATGTCTACACAAGCTATCTAGGTCACTTCAGATTGCAGATAACCAAAGTAAACATCAGTTGAGCCTTTACCTAGCTCTTCTTCTTTTTTCCATAGTTGTTTCTTCCTAATTACTGACTTCCTTGAAAACTGGTGAGGCTAAGGTAATGAGAAACGTCTGGTGCTAAAATTCTACTTGGCTTAATGATTGTTAATGTGAACTTAGATGTTAAAGGCCTAATCTATGTGCACTGGGGGCAGTTAACAGCTATTTCTATAAAAGTACAGTACATCAGCTTAGTTCTGTGATTACTATGTAGAAAATCTACTTCATTTAATGAAAAGAGAAGTGCAACATCTCTCATGCCTTCGCTAAGATTTGATACAGAATGATTCAATATTTTCAAACCAAAGCTGAAGATAAATGTTTTGCTATGAAAATTAAATACCACTTTTCTATTCTGGCAACCCTGGCAAGATAAATAGCAGTAAATTAAACTAGACTATTTTCATTAAGTAATTAACAAGGGGGGAAACATTCTTGTGTGCTTTTCCAACAAGGTTGGTCACTTAGTAATTTCACTTTAATCGACTTTTTTATTTAGAACACCACTCAAGCTTTGGAAATATAAATAGTGCTATGTTTCCATTTATATCTATCGAAGTAAAAAAATCTCTGCATTTTACTTAAACTTGTATAGATCTGAGAAACTGGCTTTATTTGTTGAAAACTGTGGGTCAGCTCTTCCATCTTTGTCTCTAACTTTTTAAGAGTAATCTGATACCAGCCCTAGCCAAGACTAATTAAATCAATTTGCAATCCCCTTTTAGAAACTGATGGTAAGTCTAAACTGCTGATACTATCTGCACAATCTTGTCATATTCTTTGTGATTCTATTCAGTGGTGGGTTGCCAATTTTTTTACTATCAGTTCGGGCATGCACAGAAGCATCCGGGTGGTGGGCAGAGCCTCCTGCCACTGCTACTACCAGTTCAGCTGATCCAAGCTGAACTGGCAACAACCCACCTCTGATTCCATGGACCAGTTCTCTGCACATTTTCCAGTCCTGTACAGCTCCTTTCAGTTGTTTTATGCTCTGGTTGTTGTTGGCTTTGATGGTTTCTAGCCATTGTAGTTTTTGGTGGCCTCGTTTCCTTTTACCACTGATCATTCCAAGCATAACCTTTTCTAGTGAGTTTGATATGTGACATGGCCAAAATAAGTAAGGTAGAATATTTGTGATTTTTGCCTTTTTGTGATATGCCTGGTTTTATATGCTTCAGTACTTGTTTGCTTGTGACCTTTGCTGTCCAAGAAGTCTCCAACACTGCAGCTGTAATAAGACGATTTTTCTCCTGTCTATTTTTTCATGGTCCACCTTTTGCAATTGTAGGTAGCTATGTGAAAAATGATAGTAAGACTAATCTGCATTTGGTTGTCAGACTGAAGTCCTCACTTTTTCATACTTGATTCATTCATGCTCAACATTGCAGTTCAATTTCACAATTTATAGACTATATTCACTGCTATGCTTAATCTGTGATCTAGGAATCAACTACAGATACAGAATTGTCTGTCTGTCTGTCTGTCTGTCTGTCTGTCTGTCTGTCTNTCTATCTATCTATCTATCTATCTATCTATCTATCTATCTATCTATCTATCTATGCCACCTATGGTACATAGACAATCTTTTGCAATATATAAAGTTTTACTCTACCTCTTTCCTTGCCCTTTGCAGAGTTGGGGTACTTAAAGAGGAACTCTGGAACCCCGGAGAATCCAGAAGCTAACTTTCCACTTGCTTACATTTTTATCACTCCAATAAAGTTACTCCCTATCTTTGGTCTTTGGTCTTTTTTTTTTAGACTAAAGTGGATAGCTTTGCTTTTTATTTCATAAGCACTACAATCCTTAACTGTGTGTTTAGTTCTTATTGCTGTTTATTTACTCAATTTCTAGGGCTACCCACTCACCAATATCTCTTAGAGGCTTTCAGAAGATTAAAACAAGTAGAAACAAAATAACAGAAAATCTAAATGACTTGCCTCACAGCAAAACTACATGTTACCTTGCCTATTATCTCAACATGGTTTGAGTTCAATTCTGAATGGACCTAGAAGACAAATCCATAATCTTCACCAAACTATATTTCCCATTATTAGTGACAATCCATGGAGATACCGAGAGAGTCAAACTGTAGGGCCATTAACACAAAATAGAGATGATTTGTTTTGTTTTGTTTAAATCTTTTTTTCCCCAGAAGATTGTAAAGTAAAGCTCATCCCATTATAATCTACTTTGTTCCTTCTGGTTCTCCCATGAATTTTGCCTGGTATCATCTGTGAGAAAGTACATGACATCCCTCTCTCTGGGAGAACTTCTCTGTATGTGTTTTTAAATGTTAATAGCAGACACAGCCCGCTTCCCCAATTCAGACTGGAACTGCCACCCAGGAGAACAGTATAACCCTTTCTCCCATACTGTTTTTACAATTAAAATAACCCTATCCCAAAAGCTGTTATTTCTCCCTCACGGCAAAACATTCAGGTGTCCTACTGGTTCCTATATATTTTACCCCGTAGAGCAAAGAACAGCTTCAGGGATGGGATAATTTTCATCAAGAAAATAGAAGGAAAGCAATAACCTCCATTTCTCACAGCTGATATCAATCTTTGGGCATGTTTATGTATGTATGTGTGCTACTACCTACAAAGTTACATGCACACCCACCCATACAATTACTTGTTACCAATGTTAAAGCTAGCAAAAAAAATCTTATTTACAAATGGTGAACAACATGTATGGTGACATTTTGTTCAAATCTAACCAGATTAGGTGATACATCCATTGAAAGTCCTATAATACCCTCCTTTTCATTCTGAACACCTTTTGGTATTTATTTGATGGTGGAGTTTAGTTGTAGCAATTGCTTTACATTTTATTGTTTTACATGGCACTCATTTATTTTTATGACTATCCTATACAGGTAGTCCTTGCTTAATTATTTTAATTGCGTCTAGCAACTCCATTGCTAAGTGACACAACCATTAAGCAAAAAAAAAAAAATCACATTACCGTGTTGGACCTATGACATCATTTCTGCTGTGATCATTAAATGAATCACCTGGGGTCATTAAACATGTCATCATGTGACCAGGGCTTGCAATTTTGTTGCCAGCTTCTCCGTTGACTCTGTGGGTCAGAAGCCAGTTTTAAAGCATGCAAATGGCAATGATGAGACTGTGAGATATTGTCACAGTCATAAATGTCCAGCAGCTTTGAAGTGTCCAAGTTTCAGTCAGATCACCACTACAATGGTCACACCTGGGAGGGCTGGTCATAAACTTATTTTCAGCCCATTGCAACTTCAAATGTCACTAAGCAAGGACTATCTGTAGGTCACAATTCTGGATGGCTCACAACAATAGTAAACCCTCACCCCAAAACCCCACCCATTACATTACAACCAGAACCTGATGCCTTAACTAACACTCTCCAATATGTCAAATAATACTAATACTTCCGTGTTGGAAACACCAAAGGGCTTCCATGGTGAAAAGATTTGCCAGTGAAATCATCATTGCCCAAGGGACGCCCAGTTGGAGGCTCCCTTTGCGGCCCTGTGAAGTTTCCCACTGAAGTGGCACCCATTTTATCTATTTACGATCACCTGCTTTCGAATCGCTGCATTGGTGGTGCTGGAGCATGTGACAGGAGCTCACTCCCGCCCTGTGGCAGCAACAGGCTGCTGGTTGTCAGTCCAGCATTTTAACCTCATGAGCCATTGCACTCCTACAACATCATGTATAACCCCAAGGCTCACCCTATCCCTATCTTAGGGGAAGAGCCAGTTTTTTATCACCTTTCTGATGGCAAAAAGGGTGGGGGTCTCCTGAATTCCAGGGGGAAGGGTGTTCCAGTGGCCAAGAGCTGCTATCAAAAAGGTGTGATTCCTACATCCCATTAAGTGACACGTTTGAGGGAAAGGACCTGGAGTGCACTCTCCAACGTATTCGACCTGTTGCGACAAATGAAGACCCTCAGGGAGAAGCAGTCCCACAAATAACCAGGCCCTGTGCCATGTGCTGCTTTAAAAGTGATACTTTACATATATTACACTGAATATGGCTCTGAAATCAAATAGTAGTGTCCTTGGGACAACAGCATATCTACAATTAATCTATAACTCTTTGAAAGTGATGTATGTTTTTAAACAGGCTGATTCAGAGATACATAATCTCGATTTCCAGATTTCTCACTGTAGTAAAACATATCAGAAAATGATATTTACACATAACAAAGGACAGACATTTTCAAAATTAGCATATATCTTTTCATTCATAGACCAACACGTTAGATGGACAGGCTGCTTTTCTGATCTAATATTGAGAGTCCAAAGCACTTTATATGTGATGGAAAAATGCACGGGTTTTGACACACTTTCCTTTGTGATTTCAGATGATGTTTCCCCATATTTCAAGACAGAGCCAGTGCGTGCTCAAGTCCATCTAGAGGGAAATCGTTTGGTGCTCACCTGTATGGCAGAAGGGAGTTGGCCCCTGGAATTCAAATGGCTGCATGACAACAGAGAGTTAACCAAGTTCTCACTGGAATACAGGTATGTCAGAGATTGTCAGGAATTTCTGCATGAACATCCCTGTAACTGCTTTTACTCCCTTGGGACCTGTATTATTGGCAACTTCAGATTTGCTCACAGGGCCATCCTCAGTTTTTAATCAATTTATCTTCTTACATAGTATCTAACAAGATTGGTGGAAAAGTGATTCCATGCTGTTGATCCATTCAAAGACCATGTTCAGAATAATGCAAAATAGATAAGGTTTTTGTCATAGTCTAGAATGCTAACAGTGACAAAATCAGACAATTAAATGAGTGGGTTGGACTTGTATGAATTGTGAAAGCCAAAAACAAGAAGGATTTCTTCAGGCAAGCTACATTGAGCCCTTATTCAGCAAGATTAATTTTGCCTATCTCACAAGCTAAAAAGAATTTCCTGTTCTGTGTACAAACTGTTAATCAAGAATCACTCAGTCTACATAGTTCTCCTTATATCCCTTGAAGCAATCAAGAAAAGTAATTTTGACACCAAGTTTATTAAGCCACTTTATTTACTTATGAAAGCTGGCTTCTTATCTCTAGATTCTGCTTTCTTAATACTGATTTGAAAACAAGAGTCCTAGAGGTTGGGGGGAGGAAAACCACCCTTGAAGAAGATGGATATAAATCATTTGGATTTTTCACAGGCCGCTTAATCTTTTAATGGGTACAGTTTCAGTTTCTCAGACACATATGAGCTTTGATGTCCAGTCTGTTTTGTTACTGGTGTGGTAGACATAATTAATATTTCATAATCAGATAACTTACTTTCAAATAGAATTTGCATTCCTTCTCTTATTCCTGTGTGCTTCCACATCACCAAGGATCTTTTGCACAAAGAACAAAAGATGCCTTTAACTAAATTGGTTTGCAGAGGGTATTCTACATTAATAGTTTAAAGACTGAAACAAATTGCACACAAGATCAGCCCGCCAGAAATCCTGTTATGCGTTATCAAATCTCTGTCGATTCTTATCATATGTATTTTCTTCACTTAATTTTTTTCCTTAAAAAGGTTTTCTGTCCCAACCCCTCATCCTTCAAATCTTCCTAGGATGCATTTATTGTAGTCGCTCATACTCTTTCTTTTCACTGTTTGCAGGAAAGCTCTTCACGTAATATGTCAAAATATGATGATTTTGATCTGGCTATTGGTATGTTGAATGAGGACTCTGAATAGATTTGTTCTGTGTTTCATTTGTTTGTTTTCTTAAGCCATTCATGATAATCTCAGAAGTCTTCTCCAACAACAAAGTTCAAATACTCTTTCTGTGTTCTTCCAACATCCAATGTTGTGTCCTTCCATAGAGTATCATAGGAAAAAACATTTCCTGCATGATTCAGATCTTTGTAGAGACAAATACATCTTTGCACATCAGAATCTTTCCCAAGGCCAAGTTTTTGTCTATGATGCTATTCTTGACTACTGGTTCCTTCATTGTTGAGAGTCGATCCTAAAAAACAGAGGCTATTCACCATTTCGGTATTGTTAATTCTAAGACTAGTTGCTTATCTTTTGTCACTGGTTTGGCTTCTTTATATTTGGACTTAGTCTCCTTCTTTCACTGTATTCCTGGACTTTCATTACATGAGAACTTGCAACTTTTCATTTTCAGCCATCAGAGCCCTGTCATCACCATAGTGGAAGTTTCTTCTTCCAGTTCTAAACCATGATCATTTTCTTCCCATCCAGGTTCCTTAATATATAAGATCTATTAAAAGTTACAGCAATCACTATTTATTAATTAATATTTATTTTCAGGGAAAATGCTACTCATGGACATTCAAAATTCATGCATCAAATGAGTAAGTTAAGTGTTTAGAAGCAAATAGGAACCAGTTTCAACATCTAATGTAATTTATGTAACAAATTCCCTATCAGTCGTCATGACTTTTGGTACACCGTATATATTCTACTTATATGTTGAATACATAAGGTTAGAGTATACAGTCTTTTCTTCCTCCTTTGCCAACCTAGAGCCCAGCTGTTTCATTATATTTGGCCTACCACTTCCAGGCTTCTGTACATGAAATAATGAGATGTTCTGAGATTCCCATTTTCATAAGCACATACAACTGCTTGACAGGGTTGCACAATTAAACTCTTTCTATAATCAATGAAGCACACAGTGATTTATTTATTTTTTGCTATTCCTTGGCTTTCTCTATTATCCCAACCTGCATTAGTAATAATATATTTTGTTCCTCAGAGTTTTTTTAAAATCTGTTTTAGATCATCTTAAACCTTATTCTGCTAGTGTGTGAGATTATGGATATTGTAAAATAGTCTGCAAGTTCTGTCAAGTCTCCCATCTTTGGTATTGTTACAAAGACTGACAGCTTCCAATTTGTAGGCCCCTGTGTCGGCTTTGTTCTGCGGCTTTAGCTTGATTTGGAGTTTGCACATGAACAGTTTGTGATCTGTTTCCACAACTCAGCCCCTGGCAATGTCTTTGCCACTGCAAATGAGCTTTTCTACCTTCTTCTACCAATATTATCTGTTTGGCTTCTGTTTTATTCTATCTGGTGATCTTCATGCATATTGATGTCATTTAGTTGTCGGAAGACTACCTTACAAATAAGGAAGTAATTGGATTGGCAGAAAGTGATGTCATTATTATATTTACCTCATTTCGGTTTCCTAGGCTATGCAGTAAAACAACATATTTTGCTTGCATGTTCTATCGACTTCTGATTGAACTTCAGCATCAACCTCCTCTTCTGCATCAGTGGTTAGGGCATAAACTTGGATAATTGATATATTAAAGGCTTGTCTGAAAAGTTTAATTGATGTTATCCGGTCATTGACTTGATTGTGCCCAAGGACTATTCTTGCTGCCTTCGTCCTAACTATGAATGCAATGCTGTCCCTCCTTTGTTCCTGTCCTGTGTAGTATGATCTCCTGCTCAAAAGGGTCTGATTCCATTTCGTTTCAATTTGCTGATGTCAAAAATGTCAATGTGTAATCACTTCGTTTCATTTTTCTTGCGTTGGCTTTTTCCATGCTTGTGTCCCTTATGTTCCATGTTCTCACAGTAATTCTACCTTTGCAGCTTTGGATTTTATTTTCCTGCAGGGCAACATCAGCTTCCAGACATGCCAAAAGCTTTTATCTAGCCATGTTAGAAACACAGTTAGCATTCTGAAAGGTCTTCAGCAATTCCTCAATAGTATGTTGAGTGACATCCAGCCTTAGGCTCCCCTCATCCAGCGCTATATTATCAGTCAGTTTATATTGATTATTGGTGTGATTTTTCCAAGTAAATGCAAAAGTAGTTTATTGATGTCTTCTCCTACATAGTATGAAATGATATCTTTGCCTCTGCCTCCAATATCTTTCTGTATCACTTCTATCTAATATGCTGTCCTCTTGCTTTAGCTGGGTAGCTGGGATGGCCTTATTTGAGCTATACACCTTAGCATAACTCCTAGCATGCCTCATTCATCCCTCCCAGAAACATCTGCTCCCTCCCCACCCACCCACCCACTATGATACGGCAGCAAAATATTGGATGGAGAAAAAAAAGCCTCCTTATTAATGTTATTTCACACATGCACAAACAGAAGCTCACCAATATAAAATGCTTAGGGGTTTCTGGTCTGTAATTTATTTTGCTTTTTTAATATTTTCAAAATAGTGAGCTAAAATGGATTTCATCCCTAGTCGGATAGATGGTGGGATTTATGCCTAACACTTATATCACATTTTGGTATCAGGTTATGCATTAGTAAAGCGGACATCACAAGTTCCCAGACACGTAAAGAAGAGCTGTCGAACTAGGATTCACTTCTTATTAATTTGTAAAGCACTTGCCCTTCTCTATTAATTTATTACTGTTTTCTCTTGGTACACTGAAGATGGAAAGTGCCTCTGGTTGCAACTGACGTTTTTGTAGAGTTACTCCCTCTTCAAATAGCTTGTTAATTATCCCTCATTCTGACTGCTATCATTTATCTATCATGGATTGGAAACTTGGCTTTGTAGCCCACAGCAATCTCTCCCTCTCCCTCTCCCTCTCCCTCTCTCTCTCTCTCCATTCAACTTTAAGAGCCCATCAAAAAAGTTTTCTTCCTTTTCTTTCTCACTCAGTAATTTGAGAAAAAAACAATTGTCACAAAGTCAGAGCCACTCAAGGTCTAGTTTTAAATCAAGCCAAGTGCTTCCCAATGTCTTGTCTAGGTGTGTGTGTCTGTGTGTGTGTGTGTGTGTGTGTGTGTGTGTGTGTGTGTGTGTGATCCTCTCCTATCTTAATCAATAATTCAGCACAAGGCAAGATGTGTTCCGATTTAAGGCATTGTATTTGAAGGTCTCTTGCTGCTGCTGCAATGCTAGGATCTTGGAAAGGATCCTGACAGCTGCCAAGAAAAGCCTTATTGAAAAGCCTAGACAGTAGCTTAAGGCTCCTATAGAATAGATAGAATAGAATAGAATAGAATAGAATAGAATAGAATAGAATAGAATACTTCTTTTCACCAAGTAGACACACAAGGAATTTGTCTCCATTGTAGAAGCTCTCAATGTATATGCAAAGCAACAAAACCATTATCGTCATCATCATCATCGTCATCCCAATAAGAGGGGA